ACCTAGGAAATTGTTGTGAGAAATTTTGAGGTTAAGATGAATTTTAATTGTTATCACAGTGATGATCACATAATACTGTGATCATTGATTTTGTGGGCTCATAAATGTGGCTAGTGGCTGACTTTGTCTCTCATAGTGCTTAGCAGTGTTTGACCAATGACTGACCAAATATCTCGCATTTAATCCACCTTCCCCCCTACTCTCTTTTTTAGGGACTAGATCTGTCATTCAGGCTACAGCACAGTGGCACAATCATAGCTCACCGCAGCCACAACTGGGCTCAAGCTATCCTCCCACCTCAGCCTCTAATTCCCCCTTTTGACTGGAGCCACCTGTTGATCTAAGGGGCTTGGTCAAATTACATTAAAACAAAACTGTAATGTTTTGCTGTTACATTAGAAAAATAATTTATTTTTTTAGAAAAATATTTTTTAGAAAAATAAATTATTTAACTACTTGTGAGGCGATGGGGTACTCAAACATCCATATTTTGTCTGCTAAATAGGCATCTGTGATGTATCCTGAATGAATTCTTGAATATTTTGTGTATAGTTTAAGGTAGAGGTTGAGAGTAGTTTTTTTTTTTTAAAAAAAAATATGTAGTAGTTGTAACATCACTTGTTGTTTCCTTCATTGAATTACCTTGCTGCTGTGTTATTAAAAATCAAATGACTATATGTGTGGATCTATTTCTGGATTCTTGATTCTCTTCCATTGCTATATTTCGGTATCCTTGGGTCAGTTTGACAGTATTGAATGTCATCGCTTTATAAGTCTTGAAATTAAGGTAGTTGTATATTATACTGTAGCCTTTATAATAAGCCTTGAAATTCCTTGAACCCTCCTCTTTCTCCTGCCCGCCCCCGCCCCCAGGATTATTCTGGCCGTTTGTGGCAGTTGGTATTTTCCTGATTGCAGCAATATTTACGATTCCTCGTGGTCTTTTTCCTAGTGACTTTGACACTCCTCCCACCCAGGGGTGGGGTCTGTATTCCCTCTTCATGAATCTGGATGGGAGCTTGTGACTGACTGCCTGTTCCTACAGAATGTAGTGGAAGTAATAACTGCATTTGCTCTCTCCCTTTCTTGGGACTTTCACCTCCTGAACTCTGCTCCTATGCTGTGAGGAAGCCTAGACTGATTCACAAAGAGTAGCTGCCTGTCTATCTGAATAAGTGTAGAGTCTTCAGACCCAGCCTGTAAATCTTCTGACTAAAGCCTCAGACATCATGAAACAAAGACAAACCACAGTGCCGTGACTGAATTCCTGATAGAATCTGAGAGCATAATATATGATTGTTTTGCTTCATGAAGTTTTGGAGTAATTGGTTGTACAGCCGAAGTAACTGGAACACAGCTGGGTTTTTTTGTATCTTCATATGAATTTTAGAACCAGTCTGTCAATTACATAAAACTTACTTTTTTGTTGGGTGCGGTGGCTCACGCCTGTAATCCCAGCACTTTGGGAGGCCGAGGCAGGTGTATCAGCTGAGGTCGGGAGTTCGAGACCAGCCTAACCAACATGGAGAAACCCCGTCTCTACTGAAAATACAAAAAAATTAGCTGGGCGTGGTGGTGCATGCCTGTAATCCCAGCTACTTGGGAGGCTGAGGCAGGAGAATCACTTGAACCTGGGAGGAGGAGGTTGCGGTGAGCCGAGATTGCGCCATTGCACTCCAGCCTGGGCAAAAAGAGCAAAACTCCATCTCAAAAACAAAAAAAAAAAACAAGAAAAAAACCTACTTTTTAATTGGGATTGTATTGAATATATAGATCAATATATGGAGAGAATGAACATCTTAAAAATATTGAGTCTTGCAAAACATAAACATAGTATATCCCTGTTATTTTAGGTCATCTTCAATTTCTTTGCAGTGTTTTGTAGTTTACAGTGAAGAGGTCTTGTGCATCTTTCATTGAATTTATTCCAACATAATTTTTGCAATTAAAATTATTTTGTTTTCCAGTTCATCATTTCTAATATGTAAAAATTCAAATGACTTTTTAATATTGGTCTTATAATCTGTGACCTTGCTTCTGGTACCTTTTTGTAGATTTTTCTGGGTTTTCTATATACACAGTTATATTATCTGCCAATGAAGACAGAATTATTATTGTACCTCCTTTCTAATCTCTTTTTTATTTCTTTTCTTCTATTGTACTGGCTAGGAACTCCAGTACAGTGCTGGGCGAGGTGGCTCACACCTGTAATCCCAGCACTTTGGGAGGCTGAGGAGGGAGGATCACTCGGGGCCAGGAGTTCCAGACCAGCTTAGGCAACAAAGTGAGACC